CAGAATTTAAAAAGAAATATTAGCGCAGGTGGTGTTAAACAAAACGTAAGCGAGAAAATTGATGGCCCGGATGATCGCGTGCGGTATCACGAGATCTGTCTAGTTCTCGCGAAAAGATATATCTTTTAGCTGGCGGGCAATCACAACAGACGACGTTAACGAATTACGTGTTATAACCGAAGGCGTGTACACGAGATTAAACGTATCAGCCGTTTACTTACGTCACTTACGATATTGAAATAAAAAATGCATTCTTTTTTTCTTGTACCGACCTCCCATGATATTGCGGGTCACCGCCGATGAGATCCGTTTCATATCGGATTTCGAAACCGAGATTATAATGCAAATCGTATATTTTGTTCCAATTAATCTTACGGCTGTTAACGTTTCCCTCGGTGATTTTCAATATTTGGACTGTCTGTAACAGTGCTGTTTCTAAGCTGAAATAATGTCAGAAGATTTGAAAAATCTGCCATAATATTCACGGTTGAATGATGTAATATTGGTATTATCAAATAATAACGTCTTTTGATGAACATCTGTCGCAGATAATCGAGAAAACCTAGACATAACTAATCCTTACATCCGGCTTGCATAATAATTATCTTTTATTGATACGCAAGGTTGATGATTACGCATTTTGATAAACTCAATCGATAGAATTGTCAAGAAATCTTGCAATTGATTGCTCGGTGATATCGCGAATTATAAATGTGCAAAATAATTACGTTAAAATTTTATTAATTTTCAAGTTACGTTCTAACGCTGTCACGTGGATAGCTATTTATTCTGCGTTATTGTCTTTTCCATCTATTTTTCTTCAGGCAATCGTTGATCAAAATTATATCATTGTTTAGAGGAAAATATCGCCTCGGAGTAAATTAAAGAATCTTGTACGAGAGGGTCGGTATGAAAGTAATGCCTCCTAATTTTTTTCTTTCTAATATGGTGCCACAAAAAATTTTGCTTTTTACTGAGTTGTTACTTGAAGTCTCTAGTTGCATTATGTTGAGTGGCATTGTGATCAGTTACGTGACTGTGTCACACAAGCAATTCAAACTGGTGTGTGTTTCAGATACGCATACCAAACAAGAGCAGTGATTTAATTTCTTGCCGCGGAAGAAATGAGTCTGGAACGCTTTAATCCTATATTAATTCTTCGGAGAAACTAGTTTCTTGAAAGTGAAACTAGTTTTATTCTTTTCCACTACAAATAATACCCAGAGAACACGTTTTAATATGCTGCAACGAACAGGAATTTGGTTTCTCAATCAGTCTATCTGTACCAGTCTATATACATACAGATAATGATGTCTTAATGTGTAAATCAATAAATAGTGAAAGAACTTTTACTGAAAAATATCAGGATGAAGAAAGTATTGTTCTAAAGAAAAAGCGTATCAGGATTTAATTGTTATGTCTTCACTGTCAGACAAGGAAAACGAAGCATATAAATTCTTGTCTTTCGATTCTAAAAAAAAAAACGGATTTTATCCTTGTTCGTTTCATTTTAGATTGATGATAAAGCCGCGAAAAAAAACACGTTTGCCTTATCTTTATTTTATCGCGTATAAATGGAAAATTAAAGAATAAAAAGAAATTTATAATACTTGATCAAATTTTAATAAGTACTATTTAGAGACACATGCATTTCAAATTTATATATATATATAAGCGTGGATTTACATATTTATATATTATATTAATTATATCGACGATCTTTTATTCTTTACCATACGTTTAATACGAGACGTTTTACACGACTCGTCCTTAATCTTGACTGAAATGATAGCGTTTATTACATTTCTTCAAGCCTTTTTATTAGTGTCACAGGCGTTTTTATTGCGGGCGTTTAAAGGCGTTTTCTTACTCCTTCAAATGATTTTTATAAGATATGTATTTAAAAATACCTGATAATGATCTTTTTTTTTCAGATATAATGCCGAGCACGGTGAAAAAAATAGGACCCCTTGTCGGCGTAGTTGATGTTGGCACGCGGACTGTTCGCTTTGTGGTAAGATTATTGTAAAGTGGTTACTCTCGTTATCACGTTATAATTTTCCACGCTTCTAAATGTTTACCCAGACCTGTCGTGGGGATTCTGTGATTTTCAGCGCGATAAATAATTAGTCGGAAATGAAAAGGCGGTATCAACTAAGCATATAATCAATTGCAGCTTAGATGTCACTGATCAACAACGATTTATGGGAGGTAATAAACGTATAATCGTCGTGCGCGAATAGCAAATAATGTGGCAGTGTCTTTCAAACAGATTTTCGCGAGATCACATTCGCAAGGCTCCGGAGTCTTTATAGAAACGTCTAATTCTCTTAAGATCTATCTAAATAATTACATTAACAAATAAACGTTAAGATAATACTTAATTACAAATTTTAAAAGCTGTATATAACTGTTAGAAAAAAGTATTAATAAAATTTCTTTTGCGTCTATTTTAACAAGATAAAAATTTTAGTTCTATATTTTCGCATGATGTAGATTTTTGTGAAATACGCGTGAATTAAGAAATCGTCGTTTTTCTTTGACGAATACTCGTGCACTTTAGTTTTATCGAATCATTGTTGTTTAAACAGTTATTGCCTAAAGTGCGAATTGTGTCTGCAGGTATTTAATGCAAAGCACGTCGCGGAGGTTGCGTCTCATCAAATCGACATAGAGCAAATCAGTCCGCAAGAGGGGTGGGTGGAACTGGATCCCAAAGAGATTCTTTTCGCGGTAAAAGCCTGCATTAAGGACGTAATTCGCAAATTGGACGTGCTGGGTATGAAGATCGACGAAATCGTTACAGTGGGTATTACCAACCAGAGAGAAACTACGGTAGCGTGGGATGCGATTACCGGCGACCCGCTTTATAATGCCATAGGTGGGTAGAGACTCGCTTCCACACATAGTAATATATTTACGGAAGAAAACTGTTTTTTTCGCGGAAGAAAAACCTGAAAAATCTGGTTTATTGAACATGTAGGATGTTTCACACGTGTCTTGATTGATTTATTTCACGAAAGATCTTTGGAAAAGTAATTCTTCAAAATAAATTCGAAGAAAGAAAAACCAAAGTTGTTTGATTAATATTCGCCGATCAGTTTCTGAAACGTAATTCTATTTCAGTGTGGTCCGACATCAGAACTAACACGATTGTAGACCAGGTCATAGCGAAGTTTCCGGATCAGAGTAAGAATCATTTGAAACCCTTATGCGGCTTGCCCGTGAGTCCGTACTTCTCGGCTTTGAAGATTCGTTGGTTGAAGGACAACGTGCCGGTCGTAAGGAAAGCAATTCGCGAGAGGCGATGCAAAGTGGGGACCATGGATACGTGGGTTGTTTGGGTACGTGACGAAGAGATATTACAGTAAAATATTAGTAATAATTAACGAGTATAATGATTCGATTAGGTTGTCCAATCTGTGTATTAATTAGTAATCCAATTAGTGTATTAATTAATACCTGCCATACTTAGACTTGCTGTATTGAGCACGAAGAAAATTATCACTAATATTAGATACTAATTGAATAGCGCACTGCTATGTATTACAAGAACTGTTATTTATTGTTAACATTCGAGATATTGTACACAATTCTCGAGAAATTAGCGCACAAATTATTCTTGACAGTCGATTTGTTCCTTGATTTATATCTAGCTAAAGAAATTAACAACATTACAATGAAGGAAATTGCATAAGCACGTGAATTTTTTTATATGGAATTAATTTTATAATTGAAAAATCATTGCAGAACTTAACGGGAGGCAAAGGCGGTGGGCTATATATCACTGATGTTACGAACGCGTCGAGAACGATGTTAATGAATATTGAAACGCTCTCCTGGGATCCTACGTTATGCAGATATTTCGACATTCCTATGCAAATGCTACCGGAGATCAAGAGCAGTTCCGAGATATACGGCAAAATCATGATCGGTCCGCTAGCCGGCATTCCCATATCCGGCGTACGTAAGACTTTGCAATGAAAACAACAGATGTAGAATATACCTTTCTATTTCATCTCCTTTCTCTATTAGATTTTAGGGAATCAACAATCTGCTTTGGTCGGGCAGAATTGCTTGAAGAAAGGCCAAGGGAAAAATACGTATAGGAGTGGCTGCTTTCTACTGTGTAACACGGGGCATACCGTACGTAAATTCCTAAGGATTCATAAATATGTTTAAAACTCAGAAAATTTTAATTTGATTTATTCTTCTTGATCTCGTTCACATTAAACTTCTCATCGTTTTACTTATCGATTATTTCATTGTATTACTATATATTTCTTTCAGAGAGTATATTCTTCTCATGGATTGGTTACAACCGTCGCATATCAGTTTGGTCCGAAGAGTCCACCTGTCTACGCGTTGGAAGGTTCAATCGCGGTTGCAGGTGCAGCTATTAAATGGCTACGGGATAACATGAAGCTCATAAAGGATGTTCATGAAAGTGAACATTTGGCTCAAAGTGTATTTAGCACGGGAGATGTCTACTTCGTGCCCGCTTTCACAGGGTTATATGCACCTTATTGGAGAAAAGATGCAAGGGGGTTGGTAGAATTTTGTAAAAATTGCTCGGGTTACTTCTTGAGTCTTTTTTTCATTCTGTAGATATATATATGCAATATAGAAACTGAAATTATTTGTGGAGATATTCGTAAAAAATATAACATTATAAACAATGATGCATGTTACATTCGAGATATTTTATTTGATCGAAAGTCTTTAATATTAAATGAAAGTAATTAGATATATTCAAAAAGATCTGATTTTTTTCTTCCAGAATAATTTGTGGACTTACTGCGTTTACCACGAAGCAACACATAATCAGGGCATCCCTCGAAGCGGTATGCTTCCAAACCAGGGACATTCTCGAGGCCATGTACAAAGATTGCGGATTTCCGTTAACGAAATTAAACACAGACGGAAAAATGTCGACTAATAATCTCCTTATGCAACTACAGGCCGACCTATGTGGTACACCAGTATGTAAGTATGATCGATCGTAAATTACAGCCAGATTTATGAGCAAGATGAAATATAGTATGACTAATGTAGTAACATTTATTTATATATTATCTTGAGTTCTATTGTGCTTCTGGAAATTAACTGTGCTTCTGTTTCGACCAACAGTTAGATCAACTATGCCTGACATCACGGCCTTAGGTGCAGCGATGGCTGCCGGACACGCTGAAGGGATAGATGTTTGGAACTTGGAAGGCGAGGAAGTAGAAACAGTGCCAACCGATACTTTTCTACCGACTACCACGCCGGAAGGTAAATTTTAAAATTGTGTAGTTTAAAAAACTGTCACAATTTATTTTTCGGTAAATGTACAACACGTAATTACCATATAACTTTAGTTGTACCCTTTCTTTCTTCTTGTAGAAAGAGACGCAAGGTATAAGAAATGGAAAATGGCAGTACAAAGAAGCCTAGGTTGGGCGACAGGAAAAATGTCCGAACAAATGACAGGTAAATGTAAAACCATCAAACAAGTAAAGTCCGAGGTGTCTGGTGTGATTGAGGCCGCTCTGTTTAAATATTCTTCACCGACTATTTGACAAGGGAACAACTTTCTGCGCTTCTTTTTTTTTTAAACGTATCATTATGTATACATGCATTTTTGTGCTTATGTAAATAAAAAAATATATTTATTTTACAACTATTAAACAAGCATATCACGTATAGCTTGTTACAAGTAAATTTTATTATAAAATTAATATTGCGATATATTCAAAATAACTATCTTTTTTATCGCTAAGATTTCGTGTCTATCGCATTATTCTGTGATTCTGTCGCATTATGCTTATTTTACTATAGTATTATGCTTTCTTTCGCTTATGTACTTTTTTGCGTTTTGTGTGTACTGTTTCTATATTTGTTTACTTATGCTTATATTTCTGTAAATAAAAATTGATTTTAATTTTCCCTTTTATGTATAAAAATGTTCAATTGAGACTGATTAATATTTTACACTGTAATTATAAAGATGTACTTATATGCAATGTATATTACTTTTGATCTTGTTTTAAGCAAATGTTTTATAATCATGTACTTATGTTTATATAATGTACTTTGAACATACGTCATTGAACATATTCAATTAAGTTTTAGGAAAATTCAATTGTAGATACTGCGTGATAATTTGATAATTATCATCGTAATGTAATTATATCATTACATTACGATGAGAACTAATGTCATTCTGCGATTTTGCATAAAAAGTTCAAGTTTTCAATGTCACAAACTTAACACAGTTTTTTCGGAAATCATAAAAATGTCAATTATAAATAATCGCATATGTGTTGATATAATATACGAAACTATTTAGAAGATAATGCGATTATATTTTAGATAAAAGTGTAAAGTGTGCGCGCGTATGTATAAATTCTGTGTAAGAAGTAGAGATTACATTAATTAAGAAGATCTCTAGTGAAAAAAATAGATATCTGATTTAAGTGCAATGACGAATATTTATATCAATCATTTGAGAACAATGATCCTTTAAATTTTTGAAAGTTTATAAGATGCAACATATGAATTCATCGATAATCAAACTGAGTACGTTTTAAACTGGATACATATTACCCGATATCAGTATATATTATATAGATAAATGTATATATATTGTATAACGATGTATAAGTTGCTTTCCATGGCATTTACACTCAAGTGATCTGAATCATTCAGTTATGTGAGTATTTTATACTTAGATAAGATATGTCATTTTGTACTTACCTGCTCATTTTGGTGACAAAGCTATCGCATAACAATACAGGTTCATAATGTGAATCACTTTTAATGTGAGTCACTTAGACTCACTAAAGCACACGGTCTCGATTGTGGGCAAAATTTCAGTTGAATCTCACTTGCTAGCATGCAAAAAGAACATACATTTAACAAGTTATGACGTCACAAGTGAGATCTATCTGAGTTTCGATGTAAATGGAAAGCAACTATAAGCTAAATTAACTAATTGAACCATTTTCTGCTGATCAAGTTTAAAAATCGGTGATTATTTAAATCTTATGAATCTTTATATACCGATTTTCAACATTTAATATGATCGTATATTTCGTAGCATTAATTTTAAAACAATTTTCAAATTTATCGCGTTTATAAAACGTAAATAAGACATTTATAAAAACTAATGCGACGTAACAGAAGAATATTTATGATGTTCCTGATGTTTAACGAACCAAGCAAAGGAAGGCTGTTTTTGTCCTTGAATAATATAAAAGATTGAAAGTGTCAGAGTCATTCGGACTTGACATAGAAGAAATGTACACAGTTTTTCAAATCATAATGTTGACTAACTTTGGACATTGTTATATCAAATATTTTCAACGATATTCGCTGATAAATCCGATGTTTTACAATGATGTAAATTATTCTCATCACGCTTCCTGACTTTTTCACAGAAATCTTTACGCGGACTTATACGCAACATATATTTTCCCTTGATGTTTCAGATGACAGGTACTGCATACTGGCGTCCATTCCTGCCAGTTGGTTCTTGATATCGAGCTTCGTTTTACTGCGATTAAGTCATTATATAGCGAACCGGTGACGGCAAGTCAACATTATCGATGCGCAAGTTACCCTAGACGGCAGATAGCCCTAATTGCAGTCCAGAAGAAAACTTAGCGAAGTGACGTAAAACTTACTCAACTCACTCACACGTGCGTCGGCGGGTGCGACGACGAGTATCATGAAATGAGCAGAAGGATAAAATTGCTTCTTTAGAATAAATATGTTCCATACTCTTCGGTGCGCCTCATCAGCGCTAACGTTCCACAATCGGGGACAAGTAATGCCAGTCACTGGTCTCTGGATTTTGGAAATTAACGCAGTCAGCACAAAATATTGTACATTATATGTTATTTATAATCTCATTTTATTCTCCGTGAAATAATGATATTCGATTTCCTGTGGGATATGTGATGAAATAATATCCCAGAATTTTTTTTGTGTGATTTGTATTTTGAATTTACTTCGTCGCATGCACGTAATTCTGTCTTTGTTACTATTATTATTTATTGTAAAGATTATATGTATACAATTTTCAATTATATGTATCATAGAGAACAGGCAACGCTGTTTTGTTTTCGTGATTTTGTGGATTTTATTCCCTTTACTTATACTGTTCGTGATCCAGTTGAGGATATTATTCCGACGGGAGTAAAATATATTTAACTCGATAAACGCTGAAACTGAAATAAACGTGGAATAAACATTTCTAATAATACGTAAATAAAGAAATATCAATAAATATAAATACAGATACGTTAATTGTAATGTATATATACGTTTTGTTATTTTCCCTCTGGGATTACAAGTTTGTTTTTTTATAAACTCTTTTTACACCTTTTACGTATAAGATGGCCTTACACGTTTCTCCATTCTCATACACGCTCCGTCTTGTCTCGCTCTTCCCTACAACCCACAAATCCTGAAACCTAATTCTAGGCTTACAATTAAGATCATTCACTCGCTCGCCACCCACTCGTTCGCTGCGTGTAATTATAGTTCATATTAGAGTCTATTGCACTGCAATCTGCAACCCAGTAGAAAATAGTATACTTACGGTCTACTATAGATGCCTGCAATTGCCGGATCAATTTGCGCGACTTGACAACAAGAAGTAATAATCAACCTAAGAATAAAATAAACATTTTCACGCGCTACGGAAGACAAAACTTTGATGTCTCGAAATTCCCTGCTTCAATATCTTTTCGGGACTCTTCGAATTCGAATTTCAGAATTCAGAATTTCGAATTCGGTTTAAACAACTAATAATAATTCATATACATTATTAAAATTATATTTTTAATTAATATAAAACAATTAATAATTTATATATTATTATTATTAAAATTATTGAAATAAAAATATATCAAGAAAGAATACCCACGCATTAAATACATATCAAGATACAAAATACATACATAATGAGATTTCTAATATGTATTTAGTATGTAAGTGTGTATTTTGATCATCTAAATGTTTTTCGTACTTCGTAAAGAGTTATAAATAGAATGTTACCGAACTATGTACATATATATTGAAAATAGACGGCGCATAAAGTTATAGATAATATCTTATTTTCAATTCTGACGAGAATTATCAGTTGCCCGAAGCGAGTTTGACATATTTAAAAGAGAAGAATTTCAAAACAAAAATATACGAGACGCAAACAAACGGAATAAATGTTGCTGATACGTGATAACGATTCCACAGCGTGCGCGACGGCGATTCGAATCGCGCGCCGGTGGGCGCGCATGCGCGCGCCCGCCACGAGCAGCGTCACGGCGCGGGCGGCGGATTCGCCGCGAGTCGGTCGGAGTCGTCGGAGACAGCGAACGCCGAACCAGCGGGCAGCGAGTGGAGCTGGAGCAGCCTCACGGATACGCACGGGGCACGCTCGCGCACCGACAGTCGCACGGTCCGTGTCAGTGTCGTCAGAATCGCCGCGAGTCGAGTCGTCCGCGGGGCTTGGAGCATCCGGCTTGGGCTGTCCGGCCCCCACAGTCGTCTCAGTGACCGAGAAGGGAAGAAAGGAAAAAGCGAGCGAGCGAGAAAGAGAGAGAGAAAGATAAATAGGATGCGGTATCGCGCGAGATTCCGGCGTTGCATCCCGTGTCCGCGGCTTCGCGGGGACGTTGTCGTGGCCGCGGCCGCGTCCCGCTGAGAGCCGAGATATGCGCGGTGTGCCGATCCGTCGCTCGGCAGTGTGTGTGCGCGGGTTAACCTCAAGTACAGCGCGAGTGCTCGCGACCGTCGCCGTCGCCGTCGCCGTCGCCGCGCGACCCAGGTAGGGTGTGAGGTGCCGAATAAAGGGGGAAAATAAGGAAGAGAGCGAGTGTATGTTCGGATAGGGGGAGGCGCGCGCGCGCGGCGGGGGGGATACGAGGAAGAGAGCTGTTCCGCGTATCCAACGGACGCGGAGCGCGGCGCGGCGCGGAACACGCGTTCACGCACACGTCCGTCAAGATGTCGTCGTCCGGGCACAGCAGCCGCACTCGCGCCGTCCACATCGGCTCGATCTTCCAGAAGCTGCACGGCCGTTTCGCGGACGCGATGACGCCGCCTAAGCTGTCGACCGACAAGCGTACCCTCGACAAGACCTGGAAGCTGATGGACAAGGTGGTGAAGCTGTGCCAGCATCAGCGGATGAACCTCAAGAACTCGCCGCCGTTCATCCTCGACATCCTGCCGGACACGTATCAGCGGCTGCGGCTCATCTACAGCAAGTACGAGGATCGTATGCAGGTGCTGCACAGCAACGAGCACTTCTGCGTGTTCATCAACAACCTGATGCGTAAGTGCAAGCAGGCGATCAAGCTCTTCAAGGAGGGCAAGGAGAAGATGTTCGACGAGACGTCGCACTATCGACGCAACCTGACCAAGCTCAGCCTCGTGTTCAGCCACATGCTGTCCGAGCTGAAGGCCATATTTCCCAACGGGGTGTTCGCCGGCGATCAGTTTCGCATCACCAAGGCGGACGCCGCGGAATTCTGGAGGGAACGCTTCGGGAACAGGTACGTCCCATATCTCGCCACTTCTTTTTTTTTTTCGCCCTCCATTTATTCCCAAGACGCGCGACCTCCGTTTTTCGCGGAAAGTCCGGTCCGGTCCGGTCGCTGGATGATCCTCGAGAAACAGTGTAGACCTCCGGTCGTAAGGTTACAAATGGTCCTGCTTTCAGTTCCTGGTCTCGCGAAAAATCGCGCTGTACTTTTAGCCAGGAATTCTATATAGAAACTCGTATCTCCCGTGAGCCCGTGAGATATATTTTAGAGATTTAGACTAAAACGTTAGAGATTTAAGTAAGTAAGGGAGAGGGCACGGAGCCCAACAGAGTGTCCGTGTCGTAATATTTAATTAAAAGTTAGAGATTCAGACTAGACGCGTTTCCCGATCGCTATAGAAAAAAAATTAGAAGACAAAACCTAAAAAACGGAACACCTTAGTCCCGGGGGCAGGCCTATGCTAGGCGAGTCACAAAGTCGTGGAACAGCTCTCTTTGAAGTAATCGTCGAGGGGAACCTGATACGGCACGCTAAAGAAGAGATTCAGAATTCTAGGATTGTTGGACGCGAAAAATGATACTTCTCGCTTTGACAAACGCTGTCAATCTTTTTGTAAGTAACTCGGCTTCTGCGGTCAAGGGATCTGAAGGCCACGTTGCATTTTTCGGGGGGAGAGGGGGGTGAAGAATAATTCATTTCCTGCGACAGATTTTGCGGCACGGCGTTTAAAAATTTCGAGAATTGTTAAACTCGAAGAATGACACTTCCGTCTTTCGCAGGCGTTGTCAATTTTGATATAATTTGGCTCCTGGAGATCGAAGGATCCAAGATTTTTAATCAGGACTTTAATTGGAACTCGAGAAGCAAGTTTTGGAGTACAAATTGGAGTAACGATCGCGAAATTTGAAGACGATCAAACTTGGAAGGTATAAATATTTTCAACCTTGACATTTTATATAAATATTGTTTCACATTTTAAATTAAAGTCCACGGAAAATCAATTTTCCAGAAAAGTCGGGTAAACTCCCACGGAGAGATCTTAAAATCCGAAGATTATCTCGTTTGGGAAGATGATACATACACGCGCGCGCGCGCGCACACACACACGCACACTTTTATCTTTCGCAAACACTCTTAAACTTTCATACATCGCGTTTGTCCGTGAGGGTCGCGACGGATCCAAAGTTTCCACTACGTTCATTCATCAGTTTCATCGAGCTGCGACGCGGAGCGCTCCGTTCCGAATATCTGAAAATTCCATTTTCGTCGCCGGGCTATAAAAATCCACGATATTAGAATTCCGAAGGGGATGGAGAGAACTTTTGTGTTTCAATATTTTATGAACGCTGCCAATTCTTGTCTTAAGTCTCGGATTCCTCGACTGTCCGAAACTTTGGCTCTTCGCAACTTTGCCTCTCGTCGGAATTCAAAAAAAAAAGAAAAAAAAAGGTTCATCGACTTCCCCAAGAGAGAAAGGGAGAGAACTTCGGAAAGAGATTTATAAAGCTCTTTCGGAATTAGCGCGGCGATGCCTCGATCTCTGCCTCGAGGCCGGTAAACTTTCCCCGAACTCTAAACTACTCTAAAGGATTTGAGGAATACAGTATACACAGTTCGTTCGTGTCGTATTATTCGGGCATCGTGAGTTTTCTGGATAGACGTCGCGTATGCTTCATCGTGACAAATTTAAGTATCGACTTGACGTCGACGGCGACGAAACTCTCCTAGGGGAGGGAACCCGATTCGGACTTCGGAGACCAACGGCAACGTCTCTCTCTCTCTTTCTCGCGCGCCAAGTAAACAGATCCTCCGGTGAAATATTACGCTCTCGCGCTTAGAGCTCACGGCCCCCTTTCTTCCCCTCCTTCCCCCTCCGACCTCTCATCCGCTTCCTTGCCCCGCTTTCAACCATTTCCGATCGTGCCGATCCGCGGGGGATGACACCTGACCGTCCACGTGTTCGCGGGACGCTGGACCTTCTCCGGGGTGAACGTGCGTAAAAACAAATAATAAAGGCGCGCAAAGCGGAGCTCGCACGTGCGCGCACCTAACCTAAAAATCATGCACGTCGCCGCGCGGGGCGCGAGGAGGAGATGGAGGAGGGAGGGGGGGGTGGCGGCCGCAAACGTGCAGGAAGGGCGGCGAGGGGGGAGGGGGAGGTATATAGAAGGAGGAACAGGGAGCCCGCGGTTGGCGAGCGAGCGAGACGACACCGGACGTCTATCGTTGATATTGACATTATTATCGTGCACCGAAAAGCGGGACATGTGTGTCGGCACTGTCGGCTCGTGTGCAACCGTGGGTTCTCTATAGAGAATGCGTTTTATCGACCGGAAGTCGGGCCGGCGCGCAAGGTGGTGGTGCATCGGGAACTTTGCGCGCGCGAGGAAAAAGAGAGAAAGAGAGAAGCGTGTATATTTCATTCTGGGGCAAGTCCTCCGAGAATATATATAATACGATCGCAATGATATATTAACGTAACATAATTGATAGAATTCTGGCTCTCCTTCAAAGAGAGCTTTATAGACTCGTTTATAGAGTATCCGAAAGCTACAGTCTTAGAATGAAATCTGACGATCGCAAGCGCGAGATATCGGGATCCATCTTCGTGTCCTTGCCATTTAGTTGTAGCTCTATTTTAATCGTCTAAATTTCTAAATCTCGGAAGAATCAAAACGGAAATTAATTTTTATCGTTTTCTTCTTACAATTTTGCTATTTTCAATAATATCCACGGATCACGTTTATAACGGGCGGGAATTAAATTTCCAGGAAAGCGCCCGATTAAAAGTTTCAGTAAAACGCTCAGCTGCTTCCAGCGTAGCTCGAAAATTCCTCCCGATATTCTCGGTCGGAGAGAACGAGAGAAAAATCTATGGAAGCTGCACTTGTGTATTATGTAAGAGCCCGTCCGACGAGTATCATTTCGCGAGCGTCGTCGGTGTTATACTTTCGTGAAGCCGGAGGAGGAGCCGCGCCGCCGCCGCCGCCGCCGCCGCTCTCTGACGTCAATCGCGTGTGCTTGACCCGCGACGTCGCGATTTAATGCATTCGGCGGTAATAAACGAAGAATGCTTTATCCGGTTGGTCGGACTCGCATTTACTCGTCGGCGGCGAACTGTCGTCGCGCTGTTTCACGCGCGCGCGCGCGTGCACATGCATGCCTACGCGCACGCACACGCGTACGCGCACGGGGGACAAAGGCGGGTTCCCCCTCCCCCTCCCTCCTATTTCCCCTTTGTATGTCGTGTCGCGATGAAACGGTAAACGCACTCTCGGCCGCGTGTATGCGGACGCGCGCGCGAGCCGGGAAATAGCCAGATACCGCTGCATTAGCATAAAACAACTTCCGGCGTGACGATTCCGCCGGTTCCTGGAGCGACGCAGGAGTCAGCGGGCCACGACATGACACGTCCAGTCATGTTTCCGGACTCCGGGGAAACCGTTACCGCCTTGTCGTTACCGATGTTCGACGGACGCACGCCGTTTTGTCGTCGTATAGCGTAGCCCCGCGGATATCTTGGGAGATGAATGAAGGGGGGCCCCTTCGCGCCTGCGCGATCTTTTCAGAGCGAAAATGACCTCGTTTAACTCTGCCGACGACCTCTTTATCGCCACTCTAGAAGTTGACAATCAATTTGCTGACTATATCGTACTTATTGTGATAGACGTATTATAATTGAGATTTGAAGGCTGCGATGTCAAGGATATCGAATTACTTATCTGTAAGTGGGATGAGGATCGCATCCGCGGATGAAATCGTGATTTGAAATTGGGAGACGCGACGACCCACGCTGGACCGGGTATACTTTTGGGCATCTTATAAAACGTTTAAAATAGCATCGAATCTCTCTCTCTTTCTCTCTCTCTCTCTCTCTCTCTCTCTCTCTCTCTCTCTCTCTTTCTCTCTCTCTATTTCCGTTATGGCGGCCGAAGGCTAATTTTCTATCGATTCCATAGCCTGGCATAGCATCACCGCCCACCGGAGTCGAGGGTTAGCACAATGGAGTATTAATAGAGTGTCGGCCGCAGGACATGAAAGAAAAAAAGGATAATAAAGCTCGTATAGGATTACTTGTTGAACGTATGACTCCCAAAATATTTGCCAAAGTTTATTTCTCGCTATAGTCGCTCATCCGCGCGACTAGCCTTCCCATTTAATTCTTACAAATCCCGTGATTCCTACGAAAGATTACCCGACGAGGAAATACCCGAATTCAGCCGTCCGCATGCAATTGATCATTTTAATCACTGTTCCATGTACGTGACTAACGACACAGAGATTCGCTATCTAACAGTTTCTAGCGTTAAATATACACATGTTTCTGTTGAAAAGAAGAGGGAGACAGCCCGTTTATGCCTTGATATTTCTAAATTGCAAGCGACCACCAAAATTCTCGCATTCCAATTTCCCTCTCGAGGCGCGCCTTCTTCCACGATCGCATTGGCACACGCACTTGCATGCACTTCTCTCGATCCGCGGGAGGGAGGAGGAGAGAGGAGGAGCAGGGCTCACACACCTTACGCGCGAGTCCACTTCCGGTGTACGTGCGCGCGCTACATCCGGCGACCTTGCGGCCGCCCGCTCGCCCGCGCGATCGTCCCCGATACGGTATCGACCGTTATCGTCACCCGCGGACGCGCTCTTACGGAATTAATGGGAAAATGTCGCGGACCCCGCCTCGCCTCTCGTCGCGTCGTTGCATCGCGGCCGCGTGGCACAGCGACGGCGACGGCGGCGGCGGCGGCGGTGACTTATGTGTCGGCCGGTATATAAATAAACGCCCGAGCGGGAGAGACGAGTCAATTCATGAATGACCGTTTGCCCGGCGCGGGCGCGGCGGCGCGGCGCACGTCGCTCGTATTTCGTTGCACGCGCTCTCGCTCGCGACGCTCGCTTCGTCGGAACGTCGAACTTTGAACATGCGCGTCGATATCGGTACGTCCCGCGTACGTCAACCCGCGTCAACCGCGGGTGCCTCTCGCAATCTGCCGCCTCCTTCTCCCGAG